GAATGAATTTCGGTGTAATATGCGAATATCAACCACAGGTAAAAACAAATATTGTTAAGATATGTTGTAATTGTCAATCTATTTATTTGAATTTTGTGTAAATTATAAGAAAGCCATATTTAAAAGCCCAGTAGTCAAGCTGTTATCTACGACCCTGTTTGTTCTCCAATGATTATCGTCGACCTTGTTTGTTCTCCAAGTTGTATATGAAATATGAAATTGTCCATCCTGTACGACATCTGTACAATAGTGGTTTGTGTTTTATGGTATGTTTTTAAAAAAATTTTTTTAAAAAAACAGTTTATCTACTCGCGTATTTTTGTACAATGTCTAGTTGGCTGAAGAGGGGCCAATGCCCGAAACGCGTAATGTAAAAGGCGTCCCAACTGAATAAATAGTCAATAAGTTGCCAAGTGTTGATATATGTCACCTTAGTGTGTCTGCAAAGAAACAAATATACATATAATTTTATATGGCCGACGGCTACAGTATTATTTTCATTTCTTAACGCGGGCTATTTGGTGTTGAGATTCTTTTTAAAAAGTCCAATTTAGGTAGGGATCCTCGAAAGTTCCCCGAATCAAATAACAAAAACTAAACACTCGCATCATCAAGAATTAGTTTGAAGATTGTCGAAATCCTAATCTACAATAATAATGTTTACGATAAAATGTACTTTTCGTCATACTGACAACGATAGGAATATTGTCAAGTTTTCATATATATTAACTAAATATATAACTAACTAAAATAATGTTAATAAATAAAAATAGCTTCCTTTATTTCCTCTTTTGTTATCTCCTTGTTGATGATGTTGTTATGTTTGTCTTTAATGGGATTAAGTTCTTTCTTCACTTCCTTGTATAGAGAGATGTGTTGCTGTGGTTCGCTGTATAGTTTAGAGAAAAATTTATGGAAGTTATTCATAATCTCTGTTTGATTTTTGATTTCCTTATTATTAAATTAATTGTCACACTACTGATATCAATTTTTTCTTTTAATTAATTTAATTTAATCCCCCTTAAGCCCTTATCCCAAGTTAACTGGGGCAGGTTACATAGCGTTACAGAAAAATAGGGTTTTTAGACCCTTTTGAAATTTTTTTGGATGTTTGTTAAGTCTCCAAATTTTTTCAAAAATTTTTTCCCGCGCAAAAAAATTTTATTGCGATTTTAATCTACCTTTAATGAGGCACGATGTAGGCTTAATTGTTTTTTAATTTAATTAATCGGACTTTTTATCAAATTTTATTCATTGTTCTAAAGTTCTAGTGCACGGATTTTACTTCGTAAAGTTATTTAAAGCTAGTTTCTGATGCCAAAAACGATCTCCAATAGTTTTTTAAATTTTTTAATTAATATATTTTATTATATATACATTTAATTAAATCGGGGGATCAGAAATTGCGATAAAAACGTAATTTTTGAAAAATATTTAAAAATATACGGTCAGCTAGTATTCACCCTACTTTAAACCCTTATCCCCCTGTAGATTTTATGAGAATGTTCCGCAAAAGAAGATACCAGCTGTTCTCTAGGTCAGGGGTGGCCAACAAGTCGATCGCGATCGACCGGTCGATCCCAAAACCAATTTTGGTCGATCGCTCGCGATGTCTTGACTTAATGTGTTACACTTGTAAGTTGTAACCGAATGCAACGCATGAACGTAACACTCAAACGCAACTGTAGTGATATCGGACCTCCTCGTTCTCCCTCAGATGCGGTTTTGTCGGTCCATGTGCAATCTATTTGCGTACAGTTGTAAAAGGGAAATTAAATGTAGACAAAGGGTCGTAAAACCGAAAAAAGAAGGGACAGAGAGAGTAGGTCGGGACACGGTAGAGAGAAGAAGAGTGAAGTGGTGGTCCCCGAAAGTGACAACGTTGAGTTTCAATTTGTCTTCTGTTTAAAATGTAAGTACCTTTTCTTCGTGTTTTAAATTAAATTGTGGCCTTTCTTTTCTATCTAAACTTAGTATGTATTTCACACCTTCCCCCCTTGCCACTTAGACCAGGGATGGGCAACCTTTTTCTGTGTAAGGGCCGCATTTCAAAACTTTTGAACTAATGCCGGCCACATACAAGATAAAA